GATTATTATCAACACCTAGCCTAATTCGCCGTGGACATGACGAATTTAGAGCTACTTCTGTCTCCGGGGAGGAGTACAGAAGTCTAATTAAAGAGACCTCTATGTCGAACTAAATAGCATCGCAGTGTGGACGGGTGCAGGGTTAATTCGATTTAACGGCGCTAACTTCGACATAAACGCCTAGTGTAGACCAGGCCTGAGAGCAGATTTTGGACTCAATTTAGAAACATTTATATTACTGCTTCCAACCATGTGAGTTGTGTGGCTAAATCCCTATGTAACTTGCTGAAAAAATCCTGTAAATAACCAGGAAAATAAATAGAAGCTTTTTTTTATTTATTTGAAAAACGTGCATCTAAAGGAAAGCCAAAAAGTATTTGGTTTAACTTCTGTAACGTAGTGGTCACTTATGCCCAGTGTCTGGTCTTTTTAGAACAGCTGAACAAATATTCGGTTAACCACTTAATTTTAGCAAAAGATGACATTGTATAGATGTCAAATCTTCTAAATGGCAGCAGTTCAACTTGTTTGTTAGTAAAATCTGTTATTTCATCATTTGACTTTCATGCATCAAAATCTTGTTTCCATATAAAGATTTTGAGTTCAGCCCAGAGGCTCACACTTGTGGAATAAAATCACTCTACTCATAAAATTAATGAAAAGTTAAGACAATATAATTGGGATACATTTTTCTCACATCTTCCCTTATTTTGATTTAAAGTGAATTGTTAGCAGAGAAAAAACAACAGGAGAAAGTCCTAACTGATGAAATGGAGAATTCAAGGGTACAGATAGCTCAAGTAAATGAAGAACTAAACAAAATAGTTGGTGAGCTGCAGAATGCTAGAATTGACTACCATGAAGGAAGACGCCAGCAAATGAGAGCAGAGATACTGGAGAGTCTCAAAAGACTTTATCCTGATTCTGTGGTAATTGGATGGATTTATTTGCATTTTTGTGGTTATAATTAGATTTGAGATTTGCATTTGCAGTTGTGGTATATGTGGCAGCATGGGACTTTCTGTGGCCATCTGGAATATATTTTAACTTTCACTCTACGCCTCTACCTCATTATAACGTGACCCAATATAACACGAATTCGGATAAAACACGGTAAAGCAGTGCTCCGGGGGGGGGGGGGGCAGAGCTGCGCACTCCGGTGGATCAAAGCAAGTTCAGTATAACGCAGTTTCACGAATAACACGGTAAGATATTTTTGGCTCCCAAGGACAGCGTTATATCGAGGTAGAGGTGTATTTTATGTATTCTAGGAACACTTGTAAATGGGAATGACAATGCAAATTTTGTACTACAAAAGAACAGTAAATTTATTAAATTCAATCTTTGTGAATTTAAAGAATTAAGTGATTGAACTGACACCAACCTTCAGATTATGAAAGTTAAAAATTAGTTTATATTAGTAGTAAACTTATGTTACTTTTTTGTGACATTGATAAGCATGCTATTCATTCATGACTTGATTTTTACAAATTTCAAATGGGAGTATCAATGTAAAAATTAGAATGATTAAAATTAAGAGCAGCACTGGCATTTCTTGGCTGCGCTAGAGTTTCATAGTGTGGTAGGATGACAGAACTGCAGAGCATTTATTCTAAGGTTGAGCTAGTGTATATGTGTGTATATTTTATTAGAAGTGGGAATGCAATTTTTTTTAACTGCGAGGAACTTCAGTTTCAGCTTATCCTCTATGGTAAATTGTGTGACAAAGTTCCTCCTCTATCTTGGTGGGTCCTGCGCTTATTGTCGGATTTTCTTGCCTCAGAGATTCACCATGTGGGTTGGGGAACAGCCCAGAGACCTTCCCCTCTGGAAGAACCCACAGTCCAGGTCAATTGGGAGGTTTGGGGGGAACCTGGGCCCACCCTCTACTCCAGGTTCCAGCCCAGGGCCCTGTGGACTGCAGCTGTCTATAGTGTCTCCTGTAACAGCTGCATGACAGCTACAACTCCCTGGGTTACTTCCCCATGGCCTCTTCTAAACACCTTCCTTATTCTCACCACAGGACCTTCCTCCTGGGGTATGTCTACACTACGAGAGTACTTCGATGTCACTTAAATCGAATATGTAGAATCGATATTAGAAAGTCGAACGTGTGTTTCCACACTAAGGACAGTAATTCGACTGTGTGAGTCCACACTAACGGGGCAAGCGTCGACATTGGAAGCGGTGCACTGTGGGCAGCTATCCCACAGTTCCCGCAGTCCCCGCTGCCCATTGGAATTCTGGGTCAAGCCCCTAATGCCTGCTGGGGGAAAAAATGTTTCGAGGGTGGTTTTGGGTAACTGTCGTCATCCAACCGTCACTACCGCCCTCCCTCCCTGAAAGCGCCGGCGGGCAATCAGTTCGCGCACTTTTCTGGTGAGTGACATCGCGGACACCACAGCACTGCGAGCATGGAGCCCGCTGCGACCATCGCTGCAGTTATGGCCGTTGTCAACACCTCGCACCTTATCAGCCACCTTTTCCAGAGGCAGATGTTGAGAATTCGGGCGAGGAGGCTACGGCAGCGCGATGAGGACATGAAGTCTGAGAGTGGCACAGACCTGTCACAAAGCACGGGACCCCGCGCCGTGGACATCATGGTGGCAATGGGTCATGTTGATGCCGTGGAACGGCGATTCTGGGCATGTGAAACAAGCACTGAGTGGTGGGACCGCATAGTGCTGCAAGTCTGGGATGAATCCCAGTGGCTGAGAAACTTTCGCATGCGGAAGGGAACTTTCCTTGAACTTTGTGAGTTGCTGTCCCCTGCCCTGAAGCGCAAGGACACCTGGATGCGAGCAGCCTTGAAGCGAGTGGCCATAGCCCTCTGGAAACTTGCCACGCCAGACAGCTACCAGTCAGTCGCGAACCACTTTGGCGTGGGCAAATCTACCGTGGGGGTTGTTGTGATGCAAGTAGCCAAGGCAATCGTTGATGTACTGCTGTCAAAGGTAGTGACCCTGGGAAACGTGGAGGTGATCATAGATGACTTCGCAGCGATGGGATTCCCAAACTGCGGTGGGGCCATAGATGGAACTCACATCCCTATCCTGGGACCGGACCACCAGGCCAGCCAGTACATTAACCGAAAGGGCTACTTTTCCATGGTGCTGCAAGCACTG